CATAGCATACATAATACTTCATGGAGTAAATTCACCGATTCCTTTATTCCCATTCTGGTAGATGTTCGTTATTTTACATTCTTTTAAACACAGGCTTAAAAAGGCTTTCTGTGTTGGGTGTGTTTGTTTGTAGTACTGGGGACAGAAGACAGGGATTTGTGCTTGCACGCTCTACCACTGACCTATATCCCCAGCATCAACTTGTTTTAATTTGCATTTTTGATTAGTAATACACATTTTCTCACATCTTCTAATTGTACTCAATTAGAGAGCTTACTGTTTGCTAAATGAATGATTGCAGTTGTATCTTCTGCCTCAGATTCAATCAGCATACTAGAGTACTACTAAAATTCAATGAATTTTATAAATTGTCTGCTCATGTTTTTTTTCCATATTTCTTTTTATACTGCATGTGTGCCTTAAATAATACAAGCCTACCACATTGTGACATATTTATGTCACATGGGCTTTGTCAGTTTGTGTTTATCATTCATTTTTATTTTTTAGGTTTTTCGAGACAGGGTTTCTCTGTATTGCTTTGGAGGCTGTCCTGGAACTAGCTCTTGTAGACCAGGCTGGTCTTGAACTCACAGAGATCTGCCTGCCTCTGCTTCCCGAATGCTGGGATTAAAGGCATGCGCCGCCACCACCTGGCTATCTTTTATTTTTAAAGTGGCTTACGAACTTTTGTATTATATTGGATTTAAAATTTTTTCACTGTCAGATTTGATCTTTTCCCTTGAGAATATTTCCTATCACTCCCTAAGCTCAGAAAACTGGTCCTTGAGAGAAGCTTGATCTCCATTCATCATAGTTTTATAACTTGCTTTTTTTATATTTGACTCTTCAATCCAACTGCTACCTATTTTAGTTTATTACAGGAGATGAGAATATAAATGCTACAAGGTTCACAACATGATTCAACGAACAGCCCTTTCTATTCTTACCATGTATCCTTTTTTAAAATCACTTTCTCCAATGCAAATTAGATCAAGAAATTATTGTTCCAGTCACGGTGTATTCACTTGTAACCTTGGCTCTCAGGAGGCTGAGGCTGGAGGATCACACGTTTTAGGGCAGCTTTTGGGATCCCATGTCAAAAAACAAAAGGAAAGAACCATTTGTGTCATACCAGTAATACAAGTACGATTATCAGTAGGCGTTGATCCCCATTAAAACTCCTGTCCTACATGGAGTCTTAAGTAATAATTGAATATTTTGTTTTAACATCCTTCATTCTTCCACATATGATTAAGCATTGATCATGAGCACAAGGAAAAAGTGGAAACAGCTGCATCCCGCACAGCTTTGATTACTCTCTACTTTCATTTATTGAGGCAGGGTCTCTCAAACCCAGGGCTCACTGATTCTGGGTAGTCTAAACTACCCAGTTTGCCCTGGGAATCCAATCCTGCATCTCTGCCTCTTTAGCTCTGGGATTACCGGAACTCACCATAGTTGCCCAGCTTTTCCCAAGTTCTGTGGATCTGAACTCTGTTCTCATGCTTGCACAGCAAGCTCTTCGCCTGCTGAGCTCTCTCTCTCCAGACCTCGTTTCCATCCTCAGTTTTCCATCTGTGACCTTCACACTTCTTCTTAGCTATACATTCCTACCCCGTCCAGGTACCCCGTCCAGGCTTTATTCAAAATAGACCACAATCTCAAAGTTCTTAAAGCTTCCCTCTCCTCCAAATCATGGAGAAACTATGTCCCTATCTGACTGTAAGGAGATGGGAAGAAAAAGTAAAGAATGACCCTTAAAAATGACCTTTTAAAAAATTATGGAGGCATACTTTACAGACTATAATTTGAAAGTGGTCATTTGGTCAGGGAAAATATCAGTATAGATTTATTAACTAGTAAGGAGATTCCAGTAGAAATGCCTCTTTGAGATCAAAGTAAAGTACATCATAAAATGCATGCATAAAATACTAAACGGTGTGTCCAGACAAGGCTGATCACCTTACATGTACATATAGGCTTTAGCACATATAAAGAATACCAGGTCAGGAATGTAACCACTTGCCTAGCATGCATGAGGTCCTAGGTTCAATTCCCAGCACTGAAGCTTTTAGAGTTCAGTTGGTAGAGTGTCTGCATAACATGCAGGAAGCCCTGTGTTTGACCCTCTGCACTGCAGAAAACAGGCATGCTGGTACATCCCTGTAACACCTGCACTGAGGTAGAGGCATGAGGATCAGTAGTAGTTCGAGGTTGTTCTTGGCTACAAAGAGAGCTTGAGGCCAAAAAAATAAAATGAACATGAGATATATTTCACCAGTTGGGGGGGGGCATGTCTTTAAGCCCAGCACTTGGAAGGTAGAGGCAGATGGATCACCAAGCTCGAAGCCAGCCTGTCTGGTCTACAGAGTGAGTTCCAGGACAGCCAGGGATATACATAGAAAGGAAGATTTTTAAAAAATAAAAAAAAGAGGCCATAACAGTTGACTGCCAGCAGGTGGCACTTGACCCATAGCAACGTATGGAGGAGAAACAAGTACTGTAATCAAAGAAAAGCTACTTAACTCCCAGGATGCTATCAGTAAACGTGTCCTTCACACAGAAAGCTGTAACTGCAGATATTTAAGGAGTCTGTTCAGCTGTCTGTGGTGGGAAGGGAATAATGTCCCTCCTCCGCCGCTTGTAGCTTCATAAAAATTGACCAGAGAAAAATCACTTTACTCATTTTCATATATACATCAGAAGCTTATTATTAATGAGACTGAAGCAGCCAAGATGACTGAAGATTACATTGCATTCTGAGCTACTGAATAAGGAGTTTCTTGTGGAGACATATGACAGGGGCTAAAGGGCTAAAGTAAAAAAAAGGCCTTGGAGCTCCTCTGTTCCTCCTAGATACTGTTGCTGTGTGCTCTACCCTGTTGCCAAAAGGCCTGGGTCTTGTGTAGCAACTGACTTACTGGACCAGCTTGCCTATGTTGACAATGAGAGAAAATGAAAAACAGGAGAGAAGTTTAGTCTCAGCTCAGCGTAACCAGGCCGCTAGCGTGGACTTTCCCAATGCACCTTTTACAATCCTTTAAACTTAGACAGAATTGGTTTCTTTGAGGGCTATGCTTATCTTACGCCAGGGTTTTCAGTGTTCTAGACCTGTACACCTAATATTTAGGAGCACCAGTCCTTTTGCATTACTCTTTTGCAGGATTTTCTAAAATCACTCTTATTTAACTTTCAGATGCAGTGATTTACTGAATCATCCCCAATATATCAATTTCTTGATAGCAGGATTGGCTTAGTTCCTCAGAATAGAATTCTACGAGTGTAGAATTCTACTGGGTCAACAAGTATGAATGTATTTCCCACTTTCAACACTACCAAAGTTTCTAAGAAGCCAGTTCCAACAGACCCCTGGCAGTACCTGAATAATTTCAAATCAAAGATTTTTCCCCCTACCTCCAGTTACTAAGGATAAAAGAATGTGCTTGCCAGTGTTTAATCAATGCTGGCTTAAGGAATAAGTGGGAGAGATGAATCTGTGTGTGTATCTGGGAGGTTTAAACAGATAGTGTGATTGGAATGAAGAGAAAAGGGCATGGAAACCTGATAGGCATCTTAGGGCAGGGACCCCTACAGCAGCAGTTCCAGGAATGGAATGTCCAGTGCTGAATTAAGCCTGCTTGTTTTTCCAAATCACTTAGAAAAGTATAACTTTTCCTTTTTCTTCCTCTCTCTCTCTCTGTGTGTGTACATACATACATACATACATAAATACATACATACATACGTGTGTGTGTGTGTGTGTGTGTGTGTGTGTGTTTATATGTGTGTGTGTGTGTGTGTGTCCATCCAGACACTGGCCAGGGCCTGGCATGCTTCTCCAAATACTCTGGGATTTCTCACTATTTTTCTTTGAAGTTATTCCTACCCCTGACTCCCAACCCCTCATTTCTGCCATGTGGTGGCTTACAAAAGATAAGATTTTTCTCTCTCCCTCTTTTTCGTGCTCCTTAGCAGCTACCAAGACTTACAGCTTGCCTGCCCCCAGGGCTTTCTTTTATTGAATTATAAAACTGT